GGTTCTGACCCGTACCCGAGAATATCAAACCGAGTTATATCCGCTACACCAGAGCGAGATCAGATTTGTGTCCTTTAACTAGCGGGTATACAGTTCAGTACTCTCAGACTGGTGCCGATTCGGCTTGGTCCTTGAGCTGAATAGCGGAGGCCGTGGTCTGGTCACAGACTAACGGCGGGCTGATGCCTCGTTTGGCAGTGTACAGGAACAGTGAGGTCAACTTGTGGGAGGAAAGCAGCGATCGCTGTTTCTCCCGACGGAAAATCTTCGTCCTTCTGCAGGTAGGTTAAAGTGAACAGCGGCTGCGTGCTGTCTCTGCGGGATCCCGGATTAAATGACCAGGCTATCGTTAAAAAAGGAGGGAAAAGGTGTAACGGTCTGGGTCGTCCAATGAGTTTACAGACAAGTGGCACACTTTAAGAAAAAAAAAGGGGATTTAGAAAAGATAAAGAGGACGCTCTCTAGTGCTACGAGAGCAGTACCTGAGGAGACGTTAATCTCGGGATACAAGCGAGGAGGAGAGAGTCTCTTGGATTTAAGTGTGACAGGTCTGGGGTCCGAGGGAATCTGACCAATAAAGGGCAGGTGTTTGATCATTTATTGCTTTAATGCCACACCTTGGCCACATTATTGGCCCCCCTCTGATGGGTCTGTGATCTGGCAGGCTTTTTTTCTTTGTCTTCCATCATTACGAGCAGGCTTCATTGATTACATAAGGGCCTCACTCCCTTGCCTAAGTCTCTGTCAGTGAAAATATATTGGATCTCAAGAGACTCTCTGGTTCAATAAATTATAAATTGATGTCTCCACAGTGATGGTGGACCAAATGACATCCATGAACATCTAAATTCAACCAACATGTAAAACTGCATTAAAAGAGGAACAGTGACGACAGCAGAGACCAGTGGAATGTAACTAAGTACATTTACTCATATTCCAGGTAGCTGCACTTTACTTGAGTATTAACTTCTACTTCACTACATCTCAGAGGCAGATATTGTACTTTTCCCACGCTACTATTCCTCATACCCTTCCTGTCCAGTGAAAACCTTGTATCTCCAGATTGGTGATTGCTTTTCTGATGAATGAATTATTAAGTATTCCTTTATGGATTGATCCTCTTTTTCATTATGCTAAATAAACCTCTTGGATTAGCTGTGAAATGCATTGTCACAAAGAGAGAGTACCTGCTGACCATTTCTTTATAGTCTGTTTAAATTAATCTCTGCCTCAGTTTTCAGAAGTTTATTCCATTCGATAAAAAAATATCTTCGACCATTGAACTCTTGAATCTAAAAAGTTTGAAATCTGTTGATCTGCATCTTGTGTTCAGTGTCTCTGAAGTGATTGCAGTAGTTGATATCTAGATATATCAGATATTTGGGGATCTTGTTATGAGCAATTTTATGGGTAAGTCCCAATTTAATTTGTATGACATTTTCAACTGGTAACCAATGAAGGACGTAACACAACCCTGATTAACTTGTTTTGAGCAGTCTGTGAATTAGTTTTGATGACCTGCGGTATACTATTAAACCAGGAGGTGGCAGCATCGTCAGAGTGGCATTGAACTAATGCCCCAGCTGTTGATCTATCCAGCAACCCTGATTTAGAACTTAATGAAGAAAAAGGTCAGACAAACAGGATCAACTCATCAATATATAATAAAAGGTTGTGGCCGTAGGACCTTGAGGGATCCCACAATTGATTTAGCTGCGTCCCATTTGCATCCAATATCTCTGTCCCACCAGAGGGCTAAGAAATGATTAATTGAATGGCCAACTTGCTAAACACCATGGACCCCATGCTAAAACCGCAGAATACCATAATCTACAGTATCAAAGGCCATTTGATGTCTAATATGAAGATTCCACAATATTTACAAGCATCAAACGCCTTTCTAATGCAGCCCGTTAAATATTAAAAGCAGGTTTCAGTGGAATGTTTTTTCTTTTAGTTACAGACTTTTAGGACCACATTTCCACTTTAGAGGAACATTAGTACTATAAGACTGTAAGTTTGGTAGAGACCAACAGAGTCAGACTGCTGCAGCTTCACATTAGCTCAGAATAAATGTTTTACACAGAACGAGGACTGTGGATTTTGTGCTTCTTTGTATAGAAAGTGCTTTAATAAGAGATCTCTGTGTGGTCAGAGAACCTCATCGTACATATGAGCTCACTACTGTTTTAGGACTGACCTGAGAAAATGTGTCAATCCTTGCCATAAATCCTTGTCAGAGTTTATTATTACTTCCGCAAAATAAACTGTACATAAGGAAGGACAATGAATGGTTTTTAATGTGTTCCCTTGTTTAAACAGATAAACAAAAAGCAGGAAGTATAATGTCACTGAAGCAGTGAGTTAAACAATGGGCAGAATCATACTTGTTAACATTTGGGGAAATGAAGTTCCCCTCTTCATATTTTGTTATTATCTGTACCTTCCCTTGCTCTATGGAGAGATTTTTATTGTTGTTACTTGTTACTGTTATGATTTTGGGTTTTTCTTTGGTTATTTCCTGTTTTCTTATGTAGTTTTACTCCTCTTTATTTCCTGTCTTTGTCTTTTCCCCACTGTTTTTGATTGTTTGCCCCGCCTGGATTGATGTCACCTGTGTCTCATTAGGTGCCCCATCAATAGAGCATATATTGGGCACATCCCAAGTCTCTTATGTGACATTTACCCAAAGCACTTATTTCTGCTCCAAAGAGCAAGGATCGATATCTGAGGAGCTATGAGCGATGATCAAAGATACATGGGAGCAGCCTTCACGGAAATCTTTTACCAACCAACATGCCCCTTTATAGGATATCAGTTATTGATTGGACACGGCTGATTGGACTCATAGACAGAGACAGTAGAAATGTTGTTTGTCAGCAAGGAATGAGTTTTACATAATTTATCATCATTTCCATTAAGCCTGAGGCTGATCGTTCCTGAGTCAGGTTTAATATGAGGTATATCATTTAAATTTTCCCTGAAATATTAAACCAAATAAATATTTTCCAATGTTCAAAAGACACCACAGTCATATTCTGAGTTATTCAATAATGAGTTTATGGAGCGGAGTTCTGAAGCGTTCCCATTCCCGTTGCAATACACACATATTCAAGCTCATACACATACATTAAATCAGATACTGCAATCGTGAAAAATGTATTAACTGTATTCAAGTTTATCAAGTGCAACACACAAAGAAGTCAGCAACTTCCTGGTCAAATTGGACACATTAAATGTCAAAATCATTGTCAGCCCATGTCCCAGTTGTTCCTTCTCAGAGCATTAAATTGAAACAACAAACAAGCTGTTATAAGTTTTGTGTTGTGTTTATTAATATTGACTTCCATTCATCATTCTTAGCACACCTCAGAGCAGCTTCATTATGAAGTTGACACATTTTCAAGAACCACTACAAGAGTTGTAAATGATGAAGTCACACAAGGCCACAGTATCAAAGGCCTTTTGATGTCTAACATGAAGATTCCACAATATTTGCAAGCATCAAACTTCTTTCGAATGCAGCCCGTTAAATATTAAAGGCAGGTTTCAGTGGAACGATATTTTCTCAATTCTGACTGTAGTTCAAATAATATTACTCAACGTGTATCCATCTCTTCATGTATGATCTTTTCAATGACCTTGGAATGAACACGTAAAAATTAATCTGGTCTATGAATTCCTTTCTCAAAATCTCTTTGTATAGAGAGGAATAATGATAAAATAAAAATTATCAATAGAGTTTATTATTACTTCTGCAATATAAACTGTACATCAGGAGAGAAAATGAATAGTTTTTAACTTGTTCCCTTGTTTAAACAGATAAACAAAAAGCAGGAAGTATAATGTCATTGATGCAGTGAGTTAAACAATGGGCAGCATCATACATTTTGGGAAATTAAGTTCTCCTCTTCATATTTTGTTATTAACTAACTTCCCTTGATCTATGGAGAGATTTTTATTGTTGTTACTTGTTACTGTTATGATTTTGGGTTTTTCTTGTTTTCTTATGTAGTTTTACTCCTCTTGTGTCTTATTCTACTTTATTTCCTGTCTTTGTCTTTTGGTAAATGGTAAATGGATCTGTACTTGTATAGCACCTTTCTAGTCTTCCGACCACTCAAAGCGCTTTTACACTACGTGCCACATTCACCCTTTCACACACATTCACTCAGTGATGGCAAAGCCCATCGAACCGAAACTAACGCATTCATACGTTTTCCCACTGTTTTTGATTGTTTGCCTCGCCTGGATTGTTGTCACCTGTGTCTCATTAGTTTCCCCCTCAATAGAGTATATATTGGGCACATCCCAAGTCTCTTATTTGACATTTCCTCGGTCCTCGCTCGAACCGGAAGTTGTTCTGATCTGTTCATGTTTTGAAACAGTTTTATTCAGTTGTACAACAGAAAAGACTTAAAGGATGAAGATAACAATTTGTTGGTTTTGCAAATGTATGTGTGGGTTGTTGATTGTTTTGTAAATTCAATGCGATGAACACTGATTCTGATTGGCTGGAAGGTGTAGATAAACTTTCAGCAACCAGAAAGAATAAACTGGCACCTGTGATATTTTATTGCAGTTCTAAATAAATGCACCAGTATTAAAGTATATTTAAAGATATTAACATTGACTGAGCTAAAGAGGTTGCTGCTGGTATTATTTGGGCCTTCTGAGTCACTTCCTGTTTCGGCGCATAAAATATATTTATGAAACAGTTGAAACAGAGAAATAGTTGTATGCGTAAATAGACAGAGACAGATAGATTTGATTACACAAGGTATTTTGTCTTTTTAAGACTAATATTGGACAGAATGAGTCAGTAAAATGTATCATTTTGTCCTGTGTAGACATACTGAAAATCATACCGGTTTATCACAAATAATGACAATGAATTCACTGAGAATGAGTTTTAATGACAGTGTTAATGAAAAGTTATACAGGAAACCTGCAGTAGAAATAAAGACTGATGGAGAAGGGAGGAGATTAGAGCTGTGTGTTGTATTTAGAGGAGGGACTCCATCATTTAAAAAGACAGAAGTTCCTGGTTTACCAGTGAGGAAGGAAGAGAGGCAGCAGTAAACCATCAGAGCGTCAGCATGAAAGTCCATCACACTTTGATCTGTTTCTTCTTCCTCTGTGAGTACATTCACTTTGTCTTTCTGACTCTCTTATGTCATTTTTCTTTATTTGGAGTGAATGATGCAGTCACACAGGGCCATGTACCTTTTGGGGACTCCTACTCTTGCACCTCTCTTTTTACTGAAGTTTACCCAACATAAAATAACATATTTTAAGTGTAAACCTTGTTAATGATAATCAAGGTCATTCAATTCAATTCAATTCAATTCAATTTTATTTGTATAGCGCCAATTCATAACAGAAGTTATCTCAGGACACTTTTCAAATAGAGCAGGTCTAGACCGAACTCTTTATAACATTATATACAGAGACCCAACAGTACCACTATGAGCAAGACCTTGGCGACAAGGGCAAGGAAAAACTGCCTGTTATTGCACACAGTGCTTAGACTTTGGGGGTGTGAAGTACAAGGCAACAACAGTGAAATACGGACAGGGATGAGAATCAATTTGTAATGTAATCTAGTGGCTTATAACATACAATTTATAAATGTTAAGTTAAAGGGTGTTTGGTGTTGTTTTGGGCTTTATTAATACTGTGTTATAGGGACTGTACGGAATTCCCTTGATTACACGAACACAAACTGGTTTGGAAGCTGGAAAAAAATAGATTCTGGCAAGAACTTAAGATACTTTTTGAGAGTACAAGTAAGTAACAAAAAAGTATAGCAATACTCATAATCTAGTTCTATAACCAATCACACATCCTGTTGTACTAATGGCCTATATGTGTCACTGTACAGTGGTAGCAATTGCACTTAAACTATGTACTCTGAAACCCAATGTTAAATCTCTTTCCTTCCAGAAATACTAGTGCACAGCACACATAAATCCCAGTAAGAAAGGATAAAGGCAAAAGTTTTAAAAGTTTAACTGATGATTTTGATTAGGCTATGCCAGATTTTAGGGGTGCTACAGCCCCCTCACCAGCCATGACAGATAGGATGGTGGAAAGCTTGTGTCCTCTTACACCACTGTTCACTGTACGATCTGCTTTCATAGGCTTATCATAAGCGAGTGTTCATGAGATCAACAGTCGCACAATGTAGATTGCATTGAAAGGATAAAAGTATTATTTGTCTGTGTTTGTCTACGTAGGTTTGACTTTGTGTGTTTTTTAGCAGTGATTCCACCACGTACAGTCTATGATTGTACCATGCACAATATCAGTTATTTTTCCTTGGTTCTATGAAAATGAATAATATGATTTTGATAAAAGTCATAATCAGCCATCTGTTTAAGAAAACCTTACACCTCAATGGTCTTGTTCCTTAAGGCCCTGACACACCTGGCCAACAGTCGGCTGTCAGCCAATGTCGGGCTGTCAAGCAGGGCCGGAGTGGGACTCATTTTCAGCCCTGGAGGTTCATGCCTCAGACCTGCCCACTTTAGATCACGACCTATTATATTAAAATAATGTAATTATAACTTTACATGTTAAGCCTACAATAGCGCACTGTTCTCTAAAGCCTTGTAATTCCGTGTATTTTTTCTAAAATAATTCCAATTTAGTGGAAGTAATGGTTGCTTCACATCTCCACCATTATTCTTTGCAACACAACATCCTTTTCAACACATTCAAAAAAGAATAAATAAAATAATAAATATTAAATTTGAAAAAAAAAAGGGTTGCACTCTGTAATAACATTATAATCAGAACTTAGATTTCACAAATACAACATCAGCATGTCTTTTTCTGCAATATCAAATATCAAGCAAATTAGTGTTCAAAGAGATCTAATCCTTAAACATGAACAAAGAATAAAATAAGTATTGCACTGTTCTCTGCAAGTTTGTTATTCACAGTATAACATAACTTTCTAATGATGTCATTATCTTTTTCTCCTCTGCAAAAGAATAGTTCCAAAGAAACATGGCCTACCCTAAAACATTAATAAACGCCTGAGCAGCGCACTGGTCTCTGACATGAGAATTTCTTTCTCAGTGCACATGAGCATGAATGCCTGAGTATGTTTTTTATGAATTTCACTGTTTAGAAACTTCTCTCACAGCCTACTTGTGTGATGGACAGTGTTAATAGCAACCTGTAGGCCAGTCCAATCACATGGTAGGCATCAGTTAGCAGATTGTACTGAGAGAGGATGAGATGAACACAATCCATCTTTGCTATTGAAAACTTTTGGTATAGCAATATTAGGGGTTTGTTGAGGATGATAAGAAAAAAAAATGTATATCCTGTGACTGAGGGCGAGCAAAGTAGTCAAAACTATCAACAGACTCCTCTTCATCTGTCTCATTCCTATCTTGTGGTTCAGGGTTCTGCTGCTGAGCTGCTGCCTCTGTAATCAGTCCCTGAGTTGACTCTGCTCTCCCTTTCACACTTCCTGCACCTGTATCACATAAAAACCAATAATCTGTAAGGCTTTAGCATATTTGACATGGAAAACATGTTTTGACTGAACCAATTAAGATTTTGTTCAATGGCAAAATGGGCAGGCTTATTCCATATTACTTTACTATTACTAATGATAAAAAGTATAACGGGCCACTACTATCATTTGGGCATAGAAAAGTGGTTTTATTGGAATTGATGCTTTCTTGTTCACACACCAGCTCACCTGTTTCTTCCTCACCACTGGCTCCTGGCTCTGCCTCTGACACTAAATCATAAAAATGGTCATAAATCTCAACACAAATCTCCCCTTTTTCAAGTCAAAAATTCAAGTCAGTTTTCATTATTGTAGTGCTGAATCATCTCTCATCATCAATTATCTGAGGGCATTTATCATATAGAGCAGGTCTACACCATACTCTTTATTATATTCATTCTAATAATATTTACTTAATGAGCAATCCTACCTGCACACTCTGGACCTGTGGGCTCATGGCTGGTGCTTGGTGATGCATCTTGCATCTGAGGGGCTACAAGACAAAGTTTGTGGCCAGTTATGTGGCGTCGCATCATACTATTATTTAAATTATGTAACGTTAGGTTAAACAGGCTATATGTTACAACGCCACACAATTCATTGACTTGATAGACTAATTCATTACCTTGAACGGTGCAGGTAAAGTTGCATTTTGTTCAACATCTTGTCTTACCCGTTTCATCATCTTCATTGGTCGTTTCAGACCGCGAGCACGTTTTATTGAAAAAGCTGCCGATTTTTGCACATTTGGCTGTATCTGTCTCAAATGCTTTTCTCTTTTAAATTCTGGCTTTTTCTGCGCCACCCTTGCTCTTTTTATTTTGCATTTTGCAAAGACCCTTGCACTTGTGGGGCTGGAGGCTACAAACACCACTGACAGTGTGCGGTGTGCACGGACGTGTTACGTCAGGCTGCGTCTGCAACAAAAGAAAAAGAAAAGAGCTGCAAGTGGAGACGGCCCAGCGACAGCAGTAACAGCATATACGTGATACCCACTCAGTGCGATGACTGAACACCGGCCCAAAATAAATAAATAGATAATAATAATAATTGAACACCGGCACTCGCGGCCCAAAAGTCAGACCGGCCCACCGGGAATTGTCCCGGTCCTCCCGATTAGCCACTCCGGGCCTGCTGTCAAGCGTCTATGACTCTAGTGTCTGCTGTGTGTTCGGCTGACTGAGCTGATGATTGGAGGAGAACTGACTGTCTCTTTGATGACAAATGGTTTTTGTGTTAGTTGCTTTGTTCTTATTCAGTTATTATGTCCTGTTGTTTTCTGATGATGTTAACTTCATATGAGATATGTATTTCAGCTGTAAAGGACAAATCAAAAATGCTGAAAAAACGATGAAAGTACTGACCATCAGTGTTCCCTGTTCATCTTTTCAACAGCACTGTGTGGGGGAGACTCCGGGCTCGTCAGTGCAACCACGTTTGCAGGAGCTGTAGGAGGAACTGGTGGAATTAGTTGCTTCTTGTCTCTGTCTGGAAGCAACAAGTTCTTCTGTAAGGAACAATGTAAAGCAGAAGATATTCTCATTAAAACAGATGGCCTCACAGCTCAGAGTGGCAGATACAGCACTGCATTCAGAAACACTTCTTCTGAAAGAGGAATTCTCACTGTGACCATCACAAATCTGACCAAGTCCGACTCAGCATGGTACAGGTGTGGTTTGGGACCAACCGTTGTTCCATATTCATATGCTGACTTTGAGATCAGAGTTTTAGATGGTGAGTTTCAACTGAAAATAATTAAACTTGATATATTTAGTGCATTTGACATATGTATTCAACAGACTCTTATTTTGTTGATGTTGTATCAAATCATTACCACACCGCTTAAATTATTATTTTAGAAGAGTAGTATAGAATATAAGAAAGGGTTAGGGTTACACCTTACCAGCCAAGACTCAAGAACTTGATTACTGTTTTGTAAGCACTTTGTAACTGTGCATTTTAAAAGGTGCTATAGAAATGAATAAAGTTAGTAGTAGTAGTAGTAGTAGTATAACGCAAAATCAATGAATCCCTGTGTATTCTGCTTGTCCTTCCCATTTTGTAGAAGCCTTGTTTCTAGTTGTGAAGATGCAGAGCATGCAGATGTGTAACGCGAACGTCTTACATTTACCCTGTCTAACAGTCTGATTTCATTCTCACTGGAGGAATTTGCCTTAGATTTTTAATGAGTTATCAAGAACAATAATAATCACACTGAGGCATTTTAGGCTGCAACAATCCCCAAAAAACTGGGAAATATATATATTGTGATCAGACAGCAGCGTCTTACATCAGGTACTGACAATAACTGATGACCGTTAATCTTTTCAACAGCAACGTTGGATGGAATCTCTGGTTTTGTCCATGCAGATACTGAAGGAGAAACTATTGTTTATGGATGCCACGGTACTGTTTACGGAAAGCAGAAGTTCTTGTGTAAGGGCGATTGTAAAACAGAAGAGGACATTCTCATTGAAACAGAGGAGAACAGAGCTCAGAATGGCAGACACAGCATTCAATATATAAACGGATCTGTATTTGGACTGTATGTGATCATCACACAGGTGACCAAGTCAGACACAGGATGGTACAAGTGTGGTTACGGCAGAGCTTTGTCTCCAGATTCATACAGGATGTACCCGGTCCTTGTCATTGATGGTGAGTTTCTTATTGAATCTCAAGAAAATGTTGTTTTATAATCCATCTACCTTTGGTTCAGTGAATATTAACTTTTAAAGAGCTGATAATGAAAACAACTTGAATTGTTATTTAGAATCTCAAACTAAATAATGAGAGAAGTCAGTGTATCTTTTGGTTATTTTATTTTATTTTCAGAATTTAAAAAAAAAACAAGAAAACTGTGGTTATTTGATTTTTATTTTAAAATACAAAACTTGAAATTAAATATCAGGGTTTTCTTTGACATGGTCAAAAAGGAATGAGCTACATTATCTAAATTGTTTGATTTTTTTTTCTTTACATACAACAAAAAATGAAATCTCCAGAAAAGAGTTTTATTGTTTTCACAAAAACTAAACAGTAAAATAATTTCAGATGGTTATAGTCGGGGTCAGGAGAAGACTCCATTGAAAATTTTAGCAACCTGTTAAAGGAAAAAAATGCATGAAGAACATATCTCCACATATTACAGGCTTTGATTCAGTATCTGATTGTTTCATTGTGTTTCCATTGATCACTGCTCCAACCACTTCCAAACCAAACGGGACTCTTTGACCTTCAAACATCATCGCCATCAGCCTCCACACCAACAACAACATCAACAACAACACCAACAACGACAACAAAGTCGACAGGTACAGTTCATCAGTGTCTCTCTGCCAAATTAATCTTCAGCAAATGTTCTGTAACTGTAAAATTTAGCAGCACTAAATAAGAATACAATTATCTTCCGATGTCTGTTTCAGTGCATTTCACATACAATTTTACAACAAATAAATACTATAATAATAAATACTTGTTATCTTCAGTAGGAAGAACAAGATGTACTATTCATTATTTTTATTTATTAATTATTATACTTGTCCTATGTTTCTTGTTAAACAATATTAATATCGGTCAGTTTGCAAAAAATTCTCCACCTCTTGGTGGCCACAGTTTTTTGCACACAGGACAATGTCACATCACAGTACGTTATATGCACGCAGATGGCACTGGTAGTATAATACCTGAACACCACAAAAAAAACAAAAACAGTCCAGCAGAGAGAGGTATGAGGGAGATCGAACAGTTACAGTGTCCCAGATAATAATCACTGACAATACATCCAATACGGAGAGTCAAAAACAAGCAACGTTCCGCAGAAGTCAATTATCATAAGATATGAGAGGAAAGTATTGTTCTTGCAACTCCATTTCTAAAATTTAAACTCTAACGTGGCTCACCTGGTAGAGCTGCCTCCCCATGTGCCCGGGCTGAGTCCCAGCTGCGGTGGACATGGGTTCGGCTCCAACCTGTGGCCCTTTGCTGTGTGTCCTCTCTCTCCCCTGCCCTGTTACTCTTAAGCTGTCTCTGTCAATTAAAGGCCAAAAAAGCCCCCAAAAACAAACAAAACAAACAAAAAGCATGTCATGTGATAATGTCTTTCAGTATAACTTATGGGACCACTAAAGGTTATTGCAGGACAAACATTTAATATCCCAGAATTCACAGAATAGACACGACCACACGATCCAGCCATGTACTATGTTTCAACCTAGTCTCGTTATTAAAGGTGCCATGTGGAGTTGACTGTGTTGGCTCATTGTGGCATTTGGTGGCACGTCACTTCCACCTGTATATCAGTGGGTTGGTGTCTTTGTTAGGAATATTTATCGCACCAACCACGTGTAAAAACAAACACGTTAACAACAACATGTAAAAACATTGTTCCATAGCTCCACTGGTGGTCAAAGACTCCACAGCGCACCTTTAAGTTCCCAATACAAAACAAATAGTTCACTACTTTCTCTCTCTCTCACTCTCTCTCCTCCCCAGCCCTCTCCTCTGTCTCTCACCCAGGTCTCCTCTTGGCTCTGGTTGTATGCATGCCCTTGCTTTGTGTTCTGTTGGCTGCTTTGCTGCTGCTCCTCTACAAATGGAAGACAAGCAGGAACTTTGGTTTGAACACCAAAGGAAATGCAGACGGCATGCACGTGGAGGTGATTTCCTTTAACTTCTCTTTTATCTGTTGGCTGTATAAGTTTATATTTGGCTGTTTTATATTTTTACTATAAATCTCAGTTGAATTTTACTGTAAAACCAGATAAGTTGAAACTGATTACATCGAAGTAAAATCAACTCAATTTTGTAAGTTGAAAACATTTTCTTGATGAAGTAGCTTTAGTACTTTTAAGTGACACTGACTTAATTTGTCATTTTTATTTGTACTGTGAAAACAAAATGTTTAGTAATAAGTACTTAATCAGGAATCTTTAAATAACTTACAAAACTAGGTTTGTGTCACTTAAAATAATTAGTAAACGATTAGTGATGCTCAATCAATATATATTTTTTTATTTTTAAAAACTTCCTTTGTGTTACTTACAATTTTAATATAATCTGTTTCAACTATATTTTGAGTTAAGATAACTTGATGTTATTTCTGTTTAATTTTCAGTCTTCCGTCAACTATGTGAAATATGCTGACGACAACACACGTTAGAACAACCCTGAATCCAGGACCACACCTACTGAATCCAGATTGTGCAGCTTATAGCTTATAAAGTGTTGCAAGGTCATTTTTCCGAGGGTGTTCACCACTCACTTGATTATTTTGAAATGTCCAATTTGTCTTTTGTTTTATTCTTCTTTTAAACTTTGAGCAATGCATAGGGAAATTAGTGCTATCCAGCGTTTACCAGTTGTTCAATAAGTCATGCCAGGTTGCATTCAGGATTACAGCTAAATGCTGCTTCGTGGTTAGTTTGGGCCCGTCTATAGATCCAAGAGCCCTACTCAGTTTGAATTCTTTAAGCATATTAGAGACGTATGTTGTGCACAAACTATTCAGTTTATAGACTAGATGCAGCACTTGAGCAGACATGAATCCAGGGAAGTGTACAGTTTTCTACTTTTCTCTTTACTTTCTATTTAATGGTACTTTTTAAACAATGTCTAGGGAATGGGGAAGAACCTGTGCAGTTATCACCTGCTCCAGTAGCAGTGAAAAACTGACTGTGAAACACACAAGCATTTATGTGCTGAAGAGAATGTTCACATGCCAGGCAATTAATTAATTAATGGTGAATACAAAAAACATGAAAACATCTCTAACTCTTTCTCTCCTACTTCCCTGTCTATTTTCACCTGTCCAATGAAAATAAAGGCATAAAAAAAAACAAAATATCTTTAAAAAAATATTTTTACAATCTTTTATATTACAATAATTTCAAGTTGTGTTCCTAATCATTACGTCTGTGGTTATAATTATGATAGTTTGGATATTCCTTGCATCAAACCTTTAAATATTGCAGCAAAGCATACATATACTGTACGACTAACATAGGTTAAAAGTGTGAATATGATTAAGCATTTGGAATAAATCTGGCACAGTTCACCAAACTCATTTCTCTGATGTCATGTCTTCCATTGCACCATACACACAGAGCTGGTGTGATCCCACCACAAGATGGTCTCTTATCATTTATCAGTTGTTTTTGTTGAAGGTCCAGTCTGTAACATTTAGGAGAAATGGAGAAATGGAAAATAATGAAATGTAATCGTTGTGTTTTCGTTACCTTAGAATGAGTCAATAAATACAGAGGAAGCAGCTCCTCTTCTATAAACTCCGCGTCTGCATCTGGACATAGTTACTGTATGTGAAGGGGTCGGCGTGACTCTGAATATATCTTATAGCCATTCCTGACTCCAGTAGCACACCAGCAGATATGCAGTAATATCTGTTATCTGTCGTCCAAAATGTACTTTTAGTATTGTTGGAATTGTTTTCAATGTATTTGTTACATAAACACAGACAATGCAGGACGAGACACAAAACACACACCAGAGCGTGAACCTCATAGTAAATCCCTTTCAAATATCAGATGGAGGACACAAGTGCCTCCAGTATTCACAGCATAGATTGGTAAACCTCCACAGGCCCAGCAGGTGGGAGTTAATTCTGAGCTGAACACAAGAAATCAGCTCTTCAGGATTTCTTTGCTCTTTCTTCTGGATTTTTGTTTATTTTATATATTTTAACTTTTCTTATAAATATTGTCAGACATGAAATCTTCAAAAACATCAGCCACTAAAACGCAGACCAGTGACTGTAGCAGGATCACATTAGTGATGGAGCTGAATAATTCAACCACTCTGAACTGTGTTCATTTCACCAGTAGATGGCGATGTGCACTCAGCCATAAAGCAGTCTGTCAAAGCCTCAGTGCCTCAGAAAGCCTCAGAGAGTTAGGTAGTTTAGTCCAGTGGTTCCAAAGGGTCACAAGATAAACCTGAGGGGTAATGAGATGATCATTAATTGGATCATTTTTTACAGAAGTGCAATCATGTGAGAGGTTTAGAGGGGAAATGTCTCTTTAGTAGAGCTGACAGACTGAAACAAGAACTAGGCTTTCTTGTAAGAGGAAATAAGCCAAACATTTTCAGATTCAGGAAGTAACCTGTTTTTGTGTATCTGTATCTTCCCCTGTTTGTGTGATGGTTATAGTTCAGTGATTACTTTTTAGACTGTTTCTCCAATAATCTTGTAAATATTCCTCTGTCGAACAGCCGGTAGCTCACATTAGTCGTCTCTCTCTCTCTCTAATGAATGAAATTGACTGTCGCACACTGAATTTGTTTAAATTCTTTAATGTGATTCCTCAAAGTGTTTCCTAGGAGAGATTGTACCGATACTTCATCATCGCATCATGAGGCAGACTTTGTGAAGAGGAAATCTTTTCTCCCCTCAGTGAGCAGGTATTGATAGGTTACTGTTTGTATTGATTTATCGTAAAGCTCATCTGTAAATT